TTAATGTTTTGTGATCCCACAGGATTTTTACAACAAGACAAGCCATAATCAGGAGGCATCATACAAATATTTTTATAAATCCTGAATTTAGGACTGATACTTTGCAGTTCGGGGTACTTCTTTCACAAAAAGCCCCAAATTGCGGGCCTACCCATGGATAAAGGCAGGTGGCTACATTCAGAAATGAGAGCTTAGTTTTACTGATACATCCGTTTTGGGGGTATCTTCGTTCAAAGGCAAATAAAAAACATTTTTGTATCTAACCCTCATGAAATTGAAAAGAAAAGTGATCTTCTGGCCATAATCTTGAATTTCCAGTAAACAAGCAGAGGCCAACCTCTTCACAAGAGTCAACGGGCCATGCTATTTTTGTCTAATTTGGCACTGGTTTCTATGGGCGCGTATTTGGTGTAGTGCAACCCTAAGCTATCGTAGAGGAAAATAAATTGAACCACAAACATTTTTGAATCAAGTTAAAAAGTAAAAGTTCAACAACCATGACAACAGCAAACATGGGATAATTCAGGAAGGTGAGCGAGCCATCTTTATTTTTATCGGAAAATGTGATAACTACCGCGATAATACTAAAGTAACCCATCCTACATGTGCAGGCCTCTGCGGGTGAACAAACGGATGCCGGACAACTCGACCTTTTGCCAACTCAACTTCAGACAACTCGACAGTAGAGACAACTTGCCCGTTTAGGACAACTCGACTTTGACAGAGAGACAACTGACCACTGAGATCTACAAGTAATACAGCCATCTTCCCAGTTCCAGGTCGCAAAAATTATTCAGTCAGATTGCAGCAACAAAAAATCCTCAAATTCAAGTAAAATATGATCAACATCCACTTTGTGTGCTAGAGATGCTACCAAATTGATTTTAAAGTTTGGACTTTTATTTCAGATATACAGGATCAACGAAAGTGAGACACTTTTCCTCGTTCTGGATTGGTTTCCGGAAAGTAACCATGCGAGCGGCAAATTCATTTTCGGCCAGAACCATTGTAAAAAGCTAATCTAATGAAAAATTTCTTAATTTCGAGAAATTGGTTAAAAAATAAGAAATCCAATGAATTAAAAAAGTGAATCTTGCATTAATTTTGACTCAATTTTTTCAACTGCACTGCACGGGCCATTAAGGATACTACCTCGTGCCGCACAGTTGACAAACCCATTACGTCACATACATTTCTGCAATGTCAGTATATAGTAAGATGATTTCGCAACGTATAGTGCTTGCAAGCATTTAATGCATGATCCAAAACTAGGGAAACAATATGGTTTTCGGCCAGTTTTAATGAAACCCAACTCTGAAAGTCATTTTGATTAAACAGACATTAGATCAAAAGGTTTATAAAATATGACTGTTGAGTATGATAGAAGTATTTGGGATCACTCATAGTGAATAACATATTGCCCTGTAACTGTTCGTCATTTTTTTCCCAATCAGAATTCTGGCCAAAATTTCTCTTCTAGAAATTTTCTGAGAACAAGTTTTGTTCAACAAGAAGCTTACATTTCACCTTATACCCAGAACCTGTCGGAGAATGTAGAACCATGGTAGAACTGAAGGACAACACAAAGGAGGTATGTTTTTATTTATCCATCCCTAAGGATGGATCAGCATGAGAGTCCGTGCCACACTGGATTGGGAGTGAGAGTCTGTGCCACACTAGTGGGGCTAGGTCAGCGCGGATGCAAGATCAATTGATTGTGCAAAGATTGACTTACTGCAGCAACCATTTTTGTAATAACTCAGAAATTAGGCTTTTCTATCTGCTACGTGAAATTCTATCTCATTATTAAAGCACAGTATTTCACAACGTGGCCTCAGCAGAAGACTGGGCTGAACGGACAGTGTCCCAACGGAGGACTTGTCTCAACGGTCGAGTTGTCTCAGAACTCAGAAATTGGGCTTTTCTATCTGCTACGTGAAATTCCATCTCATTATTAAAGCACAGTATTTCACAACGTGGCCTCAGCAGAAGACTGGGCTGAACGGACAGTATCCCAACGGAGGACTTGTCTCAACGGTCGAGTTGTCTCTCCGTTTTACGCACGGACGGGTCGAGTTGTCTCATCGGTCGAGTTGTCCGGACCCGAACAAACGACGGTTCATTGATCGTTATCCTGATCCGTGCGATGGTCAAACAGCCGCAGTCATGGCAGTCTGCCTAAACCCTACGCTTAACGTTAAGGGCTTTTTCGGAAAGATTCAGTCACCTAGATTTCATATCATGAATATGGACCTACCTGAATCAAGAACCAACAACCTGTATGACGATTGAACTGTGACTGAGAAAGTATACGATCACAGAGCTGGGAAACAGACCTGCCATTAGTTTAGTGGTACTATGGTACGTGTACCAGTTCCGATATCCACGCGCGCTAGCGACAACTGGCGATGCACCGCTGTGCGGCGCCATACTCAACAGTTTTGATAGACGTACTAGGCCTACGTAAGCGGGTACAGTCCACTAATTCAAGCCCCATTGAAAACTGTGCAAAAAATCAGCACTGTTCAGGGCCCAATATTAACATGCATGTCAATATCCCTGAGATTTCTGAAACACATGAAATTATTGTCTGGTCACTAATCGTTCATTTTCTTTTCAATTTTGTGTGAGTTAACCAATTACATTTTTTAATTATTCCCACAAAACAAAATCACCCCGAAAAGGCAACCCTCAACTTTTCTCGGCACAATTAGGACCTTTTTCAGCCGTACGTAGTTTTTAGCCATTCTGCTCTCATAAGAATACTCGACGACCCAGGGAGTTGATCCTGGCAACGACTTACACAATCTCACCATTTTGGGGGCCAAGCAATCTCCTTTTTCAAAAGATACTGCGGGGGGCACTTTTAATGATAATGAGTTGGCCCGAAATTCACGACTCCTTGTATCTCTTGTTGCAAATATTACTGCGAACTTTTTTCCAGCAAGCGAAGCAGCAGAAGTGTTCACGCGCACGCGCAATGACCTATATTTTCCGGCTTGCTCGAGCCTGAAATTAAAAGGTCACGCAGCGAGGTTCCGGAACCCTCGCGCCGTCCTCCTATGGGGATTTTAGGTTGGGTCGTACTTTCACGTTTGATAATTTTGGAAGAATATTTCCAAAATGAAACCATCCCATGAAACGCTCATGCTGGAATTTTACCTTTGTCTTCCTCGAGTAGTATTTAGGAAAAGTCACCTGGAGGTGGAAAAAAACGAATTTTATTAACGACCTTTCACTTCCGGCGATGTCGTACCTAGATCTCCATGTTCATGCACGTTTGCTTTCACTGCCCGTACTTACGTACGTGAACACGAGATTGTACAACGTTACAAAGATTTACCTATTTGTAGTCGATGGATTCCAGATTCTGTTGAGTTGACATCACGCAGTTGTTGTCAGCAAGGGTTAGATAAAAGATTAGAATATTTCGGAATGAAGTAGAATATTGCTTTATTTTTACTCTGTACTTATAAATTAGGAGACTGTGTAAAATATTTTGATCTGTTTTCATTTCGGTTTTTACCGACGGACTACCATAAAATTTCAAATCATATATATTCATCTGTGTACGAGACTGCCGCATTGCACTGTTCTTCATATATTTTAGATTTTCGGAAGTGATGGGTCAATTTTTGGCAGGATATTTCTCTTTTATGTTAGGTGATTTTTCAGTTTCTATAAATTTATATACTAGCAAATATTTTTCAAAGCCCCTTTTCAAAGTTGGATTTTTTAAGAAGTAACGGAACTTTAAAAAAAACAGAACCACAAATTCTAAAATCTTTGTACGTTATTTTTCCTATTCAAGGTTCCGGAAGCGC